GTATTTTTACAGTCTTTATTTTACAGTTAAAATAAATGTTTATCATATAAAGTTTAATGTTACAACTAATCAGGGATCCCTTTAAGAAAAGCAATGTTAAAGTTTAGATTTGTAATAATCAATTTTTTTTTTCTGCAAAAAGTCCAAGCCATGTTTGCCACCTGGAGCAAACGGATCCCCGGTGCTTCTGCAGAAACAATGAGCGGAGACGATGTGACAGTTGTGGCGTGTAACAGGATAAACATCGGGATGACCTCTTCAGCAGACACTGGCTGCAGAGGGCAGCTCACARCAGGAAAAACTTTAAAAACAAACTTTAAAACACATTTTATGTCTTTGTTTCCTGCCATCCAATCACTGTAATCGACATTAAAGTATTAAAATGATGGTGATTTTATGATTAGGCCGTTCAAAGCTTTACATCACACAACTCAAACTCAAGGCCCGCAGGCCAAATCTGGCCATTGTTAACATATTATGTGGCCACAAAGGTAATACTTTAATTGTTAAATCATTTTATGGTTTTCTTTTTGTCACTATTTCAGATAACAGCTGGCCAACATTTAACAGATAACCGATTTTAATTGTCTTTTGCTGCATTGTTTTCCCATTAAAAAATGGGATTTTTAGTGAGGGGTTTTCTATATTTTGCTGGATAAAATGTATCTTTAAAGGGGCTATCATGTAAAATCAACTTTTTTGAGTTTTATATTATATTATAATGTTATCCTCTCATCAAAAACATGCAAAGTCTTAGTTTGACTCATTCATGCATGTTTGAGAAATCCTGTAGTGTCCTGAGACAGCAGGCAGGGGAGCAAAAACGACATGTCGGGACTAGAACCACCTTTTGGGACCAGCTCCGCCTCTGGGATGTGTCTCCAAGCTGAGCTTCCTCATCCYGGAGCACAACTCCCCACTCCACACACCCCGCCCATGACTCCTGCAGGCTCTCGGCAGTAACAAAGCAAACAACGGGTGAGACTGAAAGTGAAACTGAAATCGTTTCACTCATTGAAGCTCTTTTCAGATTAAAAATACCTTTTGAGGAAATATATTTTCAGATGCCAAGTAAAACTGCATCATAGCACCCCCCTCCCACCCCTGCTGGAATGGGCGGGACAGAAG